AAAAATTGAAAATTTGACCGTCCCTGGGATTCGAACCCAGGACCCCTCCCTCCTGCAGCGAGCTTGCTTGTCTGGTGGCCTACCTTCCAGTCCACGGTGATACGTGGAGCCTACCACAGTTTCGCTTCATGAGCTCTCTCCTCTCATCTTCGCAATATACCTTTAGGGGCCCTTTGAGACCCCCCTAATTTGTCTATAAAAATTATCTTCAGCAGCCTTGTTTGGACCATAGACCCCTTCTTATGGTTTGAGTTTGAAAATTATACCTTGGTATTAAAGGGAGCTAGGGGTTTCTGAAATTTGAACCATTCTCGAAACATTTTATTCTTTTTTTTATTATTCCATTACAATTTCTTTGCTGAACCTTACGCACAGAAAACACCCCATGCATGCAAGAATATCCAAAATGGTACAATAGAAGTCGAAAAAGAGCAGATAAACAGATTTTCCGGGATTTTTCCAGTTTTTTCCCTATAAAAATGTTTTTCTCCTACATGCAGAAACCTCCAGAAAATCGAAAAACACATAAAAAAATAATATAATATAAAATAAACAAAAAAAAAGAGAAAAATTTGACAGTCCTTGTGATTCGAACCCAGGTCCCCTCCCTCCTGCAACGAACTTGCTTGTCTGGTGGCCTACCTTCCAGTCCACGGTGATACGTGAAGCCTACCACAGTTTCGCTTCAAAAGCTCTCTCCTCACATCTTCGCAATATACCTTTAGGGGCCCTTTGTAACCCCCCTAATTGGCCTATAAAAATTATCTTCAGCAACCTTGCTTGGACCATACACCCCTACTTAGGGTCAGAGTGTGAAAATTATACCTTGATATTAAAGGGAGCTAGGGGGTCTTGAAATTTGAACCGTTCTCGGGCTATTTTATTTTTTTATTCTTTTTTTTTATTATTCCATTACGCTTTCTTTGCTGGACTTCACACACAGAATACACCCAATGCATGCTAGAATATCCAAATGTTACAATAGAAGTCGAAAAAGAGCAAATAAACTGATTTTCTCGGATTTTTCCAGTTTTTTCAAATTAAAAAAAAAATTTCCTACATGCAGGAACCTCCAGAATATCGAAAATCACATAAAAAAAATATATAATTTAAAATAAACAAACGAAGAAAATTTTTGGAAAATTTGACCGTCCCTGGGATTCGAACCCAGGACCCCTCCCTCCTGCAGCGAACTTGCTTGTCTGGTGGCCTACCTTCCAGTCCACGGTGATACGTGAAGCCTACCACAGTTTTGCTTCAAAAGCTCTCTCCTCACATCTTCGCAATATACCTTTAGGGGCCCTTTGTAACCCCCATAATTGGCCTATAAAAATTATCTTTAGCAGCCTTGCTTGAAAGGCTTCCTTAGGGTCCGAGTTTGAAATTATACCTTGATATGAAAGGGAGCTAGGGGGTCTTGAAATTTGAACCGTTCTCGAGCTATTTTATTTTTTTATTCGTTTTTTTTTATTATTCCATTACGCTTTCTTTGCTGGACTTCACACACAGAAAACACCCCATGCATGCTAGAATATCCGAAATGTTGCAATCGAAGTTGAAAAAGAGCAAATAAACTGATTTTCCTAGATTTTTCCAGTTTTTTTTTCTTTTACCCCATAAAAATTTCTTATTCCCTGAATATCGAAAAACACATAAAAAATAATATAATTTAAAATAAAAAAAATTTTGAAAATTTGACCATCCCTGGGATTTGAACCCAGGACCCCTCCCTCCTGCAGCGAGCTTGCTTGTCTGGTGGCCTACCTTCCAGTCCGCGGTGATACGTGAAGCCTACCACAGCTTCGCTTCAAAAGCTCTCTCCTCTCATCTTCGCAATATACCTTTAGGGGCCCTTTGAGACCCCTCTAATTGGCCTATAAAAGTTATCTTCGGCAGCCTTGTTTGGACCATAGACCCCTTCTTATGGTTTGAGTTTGAAAATTATACTTTGGTATTAAAGGGAGCTAGGGCGTTCTGAAATTTGAACCAATCTCGAGACATTTTATTCTTTTTTTTTATTATTCCATTACAATTTCTTTGCTGGACTTTACGCACAGAAAACACTGCATGCATGCTAGAATATCCAAAATGGTACAATAGAAGTCGAAAGAGAGCAGATAAACTGATTTTCTGGGATTTTTCCAGTTTTTTCCCTATAAAATGTTTTTCTCCTACATGCAGAAACCTCCAGAAAATCGAAAATTACATACAAAAATAATACAATATAAAATAAACAAAAAAAAGAAAATTTTTGGAAAATTTGACCGTCCCTGGGATTCGAACACAGGACCCCTCCCTCCTGCAACGAGCTTGCTTGTCTGGTGGCCCACCTTCCAGTCCACGGTGATACGTGAAGCCTACCACAGTTTCGCTTCAAAAGCTCTCTCCTCTTATCTTCGCAATATACCTTTAGGGGCCCTTTGTGATCCCCCTAATTGGCCTGTAAAAATTATCTTCAGCAACCTTTCTTGGACCATACACCCCTACTTAGGGTCAGAGTGTGAAAATTATACCTTGATATTAAAGGGAGCTAGGGGGTCTTGAAATTTGAACCGTTCTCGAGCTATTTCATTTTTTTATTCTTTTTTTTTATTATTCCATTACGCTTTCTTTGCTGAACTTCACACACAGAAAACACCCTATGCATGCTAGAATATCCAAAATGTTGCAATAGAAGTTGAAAAAGAGCAAATAAACTGATTTTCCTGGCTTTTTCCAGTTTTTTTCCATTTACCCCATAAAAAAATTTTTTTACCTTCAAGCATTAACCTCCAGAATATCGAAAAACACATAAAAAAATAAAATAATTAAAAATAAAACAAAAAAAAGTTTTTTTTTTTTTTGAAAATTTGACCGTCTCTGGGATTCGAACCCAGGACCCCTCCCTCCTGCAGCGAACTTGCTTGTCTGGTGGCCTACCTTCCTGTCCACGGTGATATGTGATGCCTACCACAGTTTCGCTTCAAAAGCTCTCTCCTCTCATCATCGCAATATACCTTTAGAAGCCCACTGTGACCCCCCTAATTTACCTATAAAAATTATCTTCAGCAGGCTTGTTTGGACCATAAACCCCTACTTAGGGTCCAAGATTGAAAATTATACCTTTATATTAAAGTGAGCTAGGGGGTCTTGAAATTTGAACCTTTCTCGAGCCATTTTATTTTTTTATTCTTTTTTTTATTATTATTCCATTACGATTTCTTTGCTGGACTTCACACCCTATGCATGCTAGAATATCCAAAATGTTGCAATAGAAGTTGAAAAAGAGCAAATAAACTGATTTTTCTGGATTTTTCCAGTTTTTTTCCATTTTCCTCATAAAAAAATTTTTTTACCTACAAGCAGGAACCTCCAGAATATCGAAAAACACATAAAAAAGTAATATAATTAAAAATAAATAAAAAAACAAAAAAAAAAGTTGTTTTTTTTTTTGAAAATTTGACCGTCCTTGGGATTCGAACCCACGACCCCTCCCTCCTGCAGCGAACTTGCTTGTCCGGTGGCCTACCTTCCTGTCCACGGTAATACGAGAAGCCTACCACAGTTTCGCTTCAAAAGCTCTCTCCTCTCATCTTCGCAATATACCTTTAGAGGCCCACTGTGACCCCCCTAATTTACCTATAAAAATTATCTTCAGCAGGCTTGTTTGGACCATAAACCCCTACTTAGGGTCCAAGATTGAAAATTATACCTTTATATTAAAGTGAGCTAGGGGGTCTTGAAATTTGAACCTTTCTCGAGCCATTTTATTTTTTTATTCTTTTTTTTTTTTTTATTCCATTACGCTTTCTTTGCTGGACTTCACACACAGAAAACACCCCATGCATGCTAGAATATCCAAAATGTTACAATAGAAGTCGAAAAAGAGCAAATAAACTGATTTTCCTGGATTTTTCCAGTTTTTTCCCATTTTCCCAATAAAAAAATTTTTTTCCTACATGCAGGAACCTCCAGAATATCGAAAAACACATTAAAAAAAAAATGTAATTTAAAAACAAAATTAAAAAAAAGAACATTTTTTGAAAATTTGACCGTGCCTGGGATTCGAACCCAGGACCCCTCCCTCCTGCAGCGAACTTGCTTGTCTGGTGGCCTACCTTCCTGTCCACGGTGATACGTGAAGTATACCACAGTTTCGCTTCAAAAGCTCTCTCCTCTCATCTTCGCAATATACGTTTAGGGGCCCTCTGTGACCCCCCTAATTGGCCTATAAAAATTAACTTCAGCAGCCTTGTTTGGATCATTGACCCCTACTTAGGGTCCGAGTTTGAAAATTATACCTTGATATTAAAGGGAGCTAGTGGGTCCTGAAATTTGAACCTTTTGTTGAGGCATATTATTTTTTTATTTTTTTTATATTTATTATTCCATTACAATTTCTTTGCTGGACTTTGCACACAGAAAACACCCCATGCATGCTAAGTAATAGTCCCATGCATAGTAAAGGTAGTTGTTTTGACGTATGCGTGCCTTCCGGGCCAATTTTATACCTTTTTCGGCCATTATTCTGTCTTAAAACTAAGAAAGATACTTCTTTTTACATATAGAACACCATATTCTCGCTAGAATATTGAAAAAGAAGTTTAAAAAATAGTATAAAGTAAATTAAACAAAAAAATTGATCACTGCCGGCATGCGAATACAGCTCTACGAAACTGCGTTGAGTCTTCCGCTTGAGGGGTTTGAACCAACGAACTCTCTGACATGGGCCCCTCAGCAATCTACCGACCACGCTATCTCGGCCTATATCAGCGGTAAAAGAGTAAATATCAATTTGAAGAAAAGTTTTTGTAAATCGAACAAAATCATTAAATACATCAAAAATCTTAATTGTTCAAAATTCGCTACCGAAAACGTGAAGTCCGTCACTCGCGAAGACCTACCTGTTTCAAAACGACGAGTTAATCTAATGCTCAGTTACTTTAAAAAGGTAGATTTTCGCTTGATCTGTCAAACAAGAAGTTCAGAGAGAATCGCTCTTTAGTGACACATTTCTAACCGTTCATTGTAACCGTTATTTCTTTCTCTTTAAAAATAAAACATAAACTTGAAAGAATGGTTGTGTTATGAAAGAATAGGGAGCATATATTTTTTGTTTATCTTCGACCTTACGGTGAGTATTTTGTAATAAAAAAAATGTACCAATCTGTACTTTCTTTCTTATTCTATTATTGTTTTTCTAGAAACATTTACTCTTGTTTTTCGAGAACTGCTAAAATAGCCCTATTCTATCTTTCTCCAACATAACTTTAAATTTCTTAAAAAATATTAAACATTTACGAGCGGCTTAAGATCAATGGGGCACTATTCTGATGACAAATTTTGAGTAAGTATAGTGATCTTAATTTTTCCGACTCTCATGTATAACATGTTGCTATGCAAACCTGGCGATCTCTTAAGGTATCACCAGTACAATTTATTTAGCTTATTTTTATTTCCGACTTAGAAGTAGAATTGTTCTGTTATAAATAACGCGAAACAAAAGGTATTAGTGCTGCATGACTTTCTCATTTAAAACTCGAAAGAAATCTGTGTTTTACTGTAATTATACCATTCAACTAAGCCTTCATTAATGTATGTTATTGCGATTTTCAGATAATGCATCATTCATTTTTTAGTTGAATGCCTTATTTTTAAGGACTGCAATTTTTTTTTTATTTACTCTAGGAAGATTTCCGTATCTCCTTGGATTAAATCTGTGGCACTACATTTGCCAAGTCTTCCCCACTGTGATATTACAGTATCTTGATCTATCATGCCAACTATAATCGCCAAGGTGCTAGATAGATTTTAAACTTGCAATTTAAAAAACATGTAGATGTTTAACCGGACGTAGCTACATGTTATACCTTTTGAGTAGTCCCTTTCTGTATGTCTTTTTTTAGTTTCTCGCGGCCCACTGTGTGGAAGTTTCCAAGACTTGGCGATTATTCTGCCACAGGTCACAATATGGAAATCTCTCCCATTTTTTTTAGTTGCATGCCTTGTTATTAAAGACTGCATCATTTCTGTTTTATTTATTGTAGAGGGATTTCTGTATCGTGATCTGTGGCAGAACATTCGCCAAGTCTTCGCAACTTCCGGGCAGTGCTTCACGAGAAACTAAACCTAAAAAATAAAAAAAACATCGCAGTAAGGGATCAACTTGAAAGGTATAACTCATAGCCACCTCCGGGCAATATCTACGTGTTTTTTGTTTTGTTTTTTTTAATTTGCAAATTTAAAATCTATTTGGCACCTTGGCGATTGTAGTTGGCGCCACAGAGCACAACAAGGAAATATCTCCCTCATTGCTATCCTGGGCAGACAGTTACATATTTTTTTTCTTAAAATGGTTTTTGAAAGTTTAAAATCTATTTGGTATCTTGGCGATTGTAGTTGTTGCAGCAGATCACAATATGAAAATATCTCCTTTACCCTTACTTTGTCTCCATTATCTAAATAAGTGGTTCCCAACACAATGACCAAAGTGTACTAGGGGACTGCAGACAATATGGTATTGGGCCTTGAAGCTGTAATCATCCACTTTCAATCTGGGTATTGACTCTCCTTGATTCCGGGGGTCCTTGATTTCTGTTCTAACAGCTACAATCACCTAAGCACCAATTACATTAAAAACATTTCTATACTTGCCCATGGTTGGCTACTCAAGGTCCAGATTTTTTACTTAATACCCATTTTTGTGAAACATTTTATTTTATTTTTAAAATTTAAACGTATCACAATTTTCTGTGAGAAAATATCCTTCAAAAAGTAAAGACAGAACTATTTTATTTAGTGATGAACTATTAATATACTTGTTTAAAATTCGTTACAGGGTGTCTAGCAACAGCAGAGTTACCACTCTACAGGAAAATAAAGGGAATTTAAAAATCAATTTGATTTGAATTTAAAAACTGGGAAAATGCAGGGAATTCTGTTTGTTATTTTTTGTCTTTTAAAAAATTGGTGACCACTCAAAGGATAATCTGTGGGTAATCTTTCATTTACTCTAGCATTATTTAAGTATGTTCAGCTGTTATTCCAGCAATTAAAACTATTAAATATAATTAGCTGAATGTAGCTCACACAAGAGCACAGAAATTGTTGTTTCGTCTTAATATATTGTGTATTATATGCAGGGTTGGGTTTTTGACATGACAAGGGTATAATACTGGTTTAAACTGTCAAAAACCCGTCAAAAACTGAAGTTTGCTAAGAAAATATATAAACTTCAAAACTACCAACAGTTGCCATGCATTATATTGAAATTTAATTATACTATAGGTAATCAGCAGGTTTTAAAATATTTTTTAATTAAAATTAAGGTAAAATAACAGATTTAAAATCTCAGAAATTTATATTCAAATGCATGTGCAGAAAAATTTTGCACAAAAATTGTTTAAATATTTATATTTAAAAAAATTTTTTTTTTCTTTTTGATACTTAAGAAAATTAAAAGTTTATTACTATGCATTTTTGACATATAAGGAACATATAACTAATATTTATAAGGAACTTACAAGTTATGTTGTATAAATACAAACTTGATACAAGATACAAGTGTATAAAAAATTTTTTTTAATGTTATACCGAATATCTTTATTATCCAGTATGTTAATTTGAATTTAAAAGTAGTTATATTTATGAATAATGATAAATATAATTCATATTGTTTATTATATTTATTTATAATTATTACACTTATCATTTTAAAACAATTTTTATCTCTTAATTTTTTTTTCTCCACTTGTATTAAGAATACAAATAATGCATATCTTGAAAGCAAGAAGTAATTATTCAACAGCTGAATATTTAGATATTCAACAAAACTATATAGTATTCAGCAAAATGAAATTCACAAGTATTTGGATAAACTAAATTTTCAGCATAGTAAATGAATAGGCTGAATATACTGTAAATCGACACTAACTACTCTGTGTATTTAACAGAAAGCACTTAAATTTGTATTGTCTTATGTTAAAAAGATTATTAAGAAGATTTAAAAGAATATTAAAAAGATTTTTCTTTAAAAGATGTCTAATGTACAAAACTGCTAATGTTTATCTTTAAAAATGTCTAATTTTTAGTATAATCTATACTATACACTAAATTTGGTTATAAATAAATTTCTTAATAATATCACTGCAGATTTTCAATAACACATGAAAATGAATACATAATATTACAAAAGATGTGAGCTTTCAAAAGTACAAGATTTTGGTTACTATTCAAAATATAAGTGTTTCTTCAAAATTTTAAATTTATTTTTTCTAGGACATATTTAGAAACACTATTCTTTATAAAAAATATATAAATTGTATGTATTAATAAAATTTCACATATGAATATAGGTTTTTGACATTTTTGACAGTGAGGTTTTTGACGTGACGGTTTAAGCCATGGTTTAAATCGTCAAAAACTGTCACATGTCAAAAACCTGCCAACTCTGATTATATGTACAGGGAGAACACAGGTACTTTTTTTTCCAGATTTGAGTGGCAACCCTGAACAGGAAAGATAGTAAAAACCTAGAATTATCGGGGAATTTATTGGTTTTGGTAATATCAGAGAATTTCAAAAAAATTTTAGAACGAACGATTCGAATTAACGAATAATTCAAAAAGTGTCAGAAAACTTGAAATTTTAAGCTGTTCACACTGTTAGTAATTTTTTAAAAGAAAATTTTGTAACTTAGGTGATTTTTTTCAGGCTTAAACAACCGAAAAAGAAACTGCTTCCTATTAAAAATTCATGAAGCCTCTAATAATTCAAAAGATAGAAAAAATATTTGAAGTATAATACCAAATAAATATTGAATCTTTTTTTTGTACTCTAATGGTTTTATTTAATATTTGTTTGTTTTTAAACCCTATAAATTTTCTTCAATTAAAATATTTAATTTTAATTTATATTAATCGTCAAAATAAGTATTTATTGATTTAATTTTTTATTCATTCATTCTGTGGCAGAATTGCAGTGACATGGCGACATTGTAGCAGACCGCTACATAGTTCTTGTAGAAAGATTTTTCTTTTGAAAAGTTTAAAAAAAAATTTTTACTAATTTCTGCACAATATTTGTATCATGCATTTAGATGATCACATTTTGACACACTTAATTTATGCCGATAGTATTGTAAATAGATGTAATGTTTTGATTGTAAAGTTATTAATATTGCTTTTCACATGTTTTTTAAGTTTCTAGATATATTTCAAACAATATTGAGCATTCAAATCGTGCATTTGAGTATTTAGTTTTTAAAGCAATAATTCTATTGAATTTTTGGCTGTTATTGCTATTGATTTCTCAATAGTTTTTAAATTTGATATTACAATTATTTATTATTATGCATTTGAGTAACACCTTTTTGAGGAGCCCAATTCGCGTGATTATGTTGTCGATCGCTTTTTTCGACAACAAATTTCATGATGATTATTTACTAAATGTGAAGAAAATAATTTGTGCGTTACGCCCCCCTCAGCAAAATGCAAAAATAGAATTAGAATAAAAAATGATCACATGTTTAATTTTAAAAAAAAATTAGTTTTTTTTGTAAACACAGCTTTTTTGTTAATTATTTATTATGTAAATTAAATTAGTAATTATTAATAGTTATTAATTAAATTAGTAACATATATATTATTGTTATTATTGAAAGTATCTTGCAGAAAGATATTAGTGCTACATAGTTACGTCTGAGATAGCTATAAAAAATTCTGCCACAGTGTTAAAAATTAGGGTTTTTTTTAAAAATTTATTTTTGAATGATTATTTGTACTTAATGATGTAACCATTTCTAGTAATTATGATAATTATATTCATTATAATTTATTTCTAGTTAAGAATGAAAGAAAAGTCAGAAGTATTAAAACCTCACAGTAGATCTGAGAAATCCTCACGTCATGTCCAAAGACCTTCCAATGATCATCTCCATATGGCTTCTAACAGAGATAAGTCAGAACACAGGTCTTCAAAAAAGAATCATTCTAACAAGTATGCTGATGATGAATACAGAAGTGTAAAAGAAAGCAGCAAAAAGAAAAATTACAGGAATGAAATCAACTACGATGAATCATATGAAGAACTTTCTCGTAAGAAACGAAAAATTGAAAAAGAGCTTCAGGCGTTAGATTTAGAAGAAGCCGCTGCCAAAAAGTAAGAACAGTTTAGTTCAAACATTTGTCTCAAAGCAGAATGTCAAGTATAAATTAATTTAAAACCAATTTTATTTCTATTATAATTACTTAAATAATACTTAATATATTGCTGAAATTCCATAAAATAATTGAACGTACTTCAATCGAAAAAAGGGTTGGTGTCATGGACGTCCTAAACTAGTTTTGGACATGGTACATGGGTTTTACTGACTAAAACCGTCTTAAAGTGTCCAAAACCTTGAATAAGGTAAAAACTCTATGTGCCGCCATTGTACATATATTAATAAATATTTTATACAATTTGCTTTAACTTATTAAAGGAAAATAATACTTTTCCCCATATCCTTTAAATATGAATAAATATGCTTTTAGTACTGGTAAATTATGTTTTTCCGTAAGGATAAATAAATGCAATATTAAAAATAATAATAAGCTTTTTTGATTGAACAAAAACTTGTTTATTTCTTGTTTAAAAATTAACCTTTTATTTTTCGCAATATTTTTATTAAATTGTGACATAATTTGAATAAACGGGTTTTGGACAGTTTAAGATTGTTTTAGACAAAGGGGTTTTGGACAGGACGGTTTAAACTGCGGATTAATCCATTCTGTCCTAAACCTTGAGAACTCTGCAAAAACCTTTGCCCCATGGCAGAATTACGGCAAAATTGTCACTCAATGTTATAGAGTTCTTGCAAAAAGATTTTACCTTTGGGAAGTTGAAAATAAAAATGCCAATTCAAAATCAACTGGAAACATTTGACTTAAGAAATTGGTTTAAATCAAATGTTATTAGTGAATTCTGTAAATGGCACAGTTTGGGCAAAATACTGTGAAATAGCTCTATATTTGAATGTAAATAAATTGTTAAATTTCAAAGCAGCAATGAATTAAAAAATATTTAACACTACTTGTCCAATATTTTTAAGTAACTCTGTGTTTACTTTTGAACTTTTTGCAAAAACTACTTAATCTTTTGCTTGCAGCACGTGATGAAAACCACTTATTTTTACCAGCTGTAAGCAAAAATTTAAAGTAACACATAAAAATATTGAAAACTATATTTTCTGTATATATGGAAAACTATACATTAGATTGTTAAAAAATTTTGCATTTTAAATAAAATGCTTTCGACTATTGATAGTTTTCTTGGGAGTTAAGCACCCATCCTACACTTAATGAAAAAAAAGAAAACAAACACTGACCTGGAAATTTTAAGATTTTTACCTGAAAAAATCAGGGAAATTTGAAACCTGATTTAAGTGGTCACTCTGATTTTAGCAGTGCTAAGTAATTTTTTCAACTTACTACTGAAGCATCTAGAATACATTTCTATAAAATACAGCATTAAACAGCATTTATTTTAGAAGGTTACCTTAATAAAATTTGTCAAAAATATTGGTTTTCACCTTTTGTTAACAAACTTAGAATATAATTCTAAATATAACTGGGCAAAAAAAGACATTTTATCGAGAATATCTTGTACCCACACTTCTAAATTTACACAAGAAAACTTGCTGTATATTTAAATTTGTTTTAAAAAATTGAGATGAAAATTTGTATAGAAATGAAATTTTGACATAGTGTATTATTTTTTTAATGTTCTATAATATATTAAATATGTATGATAATGAAGGTATTTTTTTATGTAATAATGTATTGTTGGTAAATAATGGTGCATAAATAAATTCTAATTTTTTCTGAAGCACTTTGAGGAAATCTCGAGCTCATTACACTCTTTGCTCATTATTTTTGATTACCAAGCTCATTACTTTTGATTATCTTTTCTATGCTATAAATTATTTTCTGTTGTCCTATTTCATTATGCAAAATCACTTATTATTAGAGCACGAAGTTTGTTTTTAATAAAATAGATGCTAAACAAAAACTGTAATTGCTGTTTTGGATAACGATAACGTTAAACCTTTAATGTTGTTTGAAATATATTTCTGTTACCTGGTCCAACCTGCCCCATGAGTATATTAATCTTTAAAAATGCAATTTTTTTAAATGCTTAACAAAAGATAAGTGCTGTATTGGATGAAATGAATCTTTCAATATTGTGTCAAAATATATTTCTGTTACATGGACCATAGCGCCCAGTGTGTATTGGTCAACTGTTCATGATTTTTCGAAATAGAAACAATTTCCAGCAGTCATTAATGTTTTTTTAGTATACATAAAAGGGAGGATTTAAGCTATTTGCCTTGTAGAAAAAATAAAACGATACAAATAAGTTTTTAATGAGATAAGAAATAAAAAGTGAACCACCTAACCCCAGTCAGAGATGCCAACATGCTCCGGACTGCAAATATATATTTTAAAGTGGTAGTTTATCAATTGTGAATCTTAGTTTAATAAATTCAGTTTAGTAGATTTTTATCCACCACTATTTCTGAATAATTCGTAGGCGTATAAGATTCACCACTTTTTAGTACTTTAGTCATGCTATACCTTTTAAAAAGCAAGCAAATAAAGTCAAATATTTGGAAATTTTACTTTGTAGTTATCTGCCGTTTCTTTAATTATTTTGGCGTGTCCGGAGCAGTTGGCATCTCTGCCCAGTTTCCACTGTATCATGATACTCAATTATAGTGTGCACCGTTTTTAAAAATTGCTTAAAAGTTATTATTTTCGTTTTTTAAAAGAGCTTAAAGGTGCTTTTTTTATTGGGTGTTTTTAAAAAGTGCTTAATTTTCCCTATTCGAAAATGAGATTTTTTATCCTTGTCATGTCTATGTTCGCCCCACGTATTATGCAAGAGCATGGTTTGCACATTGCTCTATTCAATGTTTTCACAATTCCTTCAAAGACAATGCATTCTGGCATACCGTCGGTCCGTAGCGTATGAAAGAGCCATTAATTTTGCATGTTTGATTAAATACTTGCAAGTCCGCATATACGTATACTGAGCTGGGTTCGGTGAGTTTCTTGCACTCTCATGTTCAACTCTGCAGCATTTTGCTACATATTCTCAATTTCAGGCTTCATTTTCCACCCTCTGAAATCGAACCAAAAAATCTCTCGATCTTTTTGTGGTGGCTAATATAATCGAGAAAAGAATTCTATATTAGAAGAAACTAGTTATTTTATCATGATCATGTGAAGTCTTTGAGAACTATTTTGCATTTTGTTAATGTATGTAGTGCTTAAAAATGTTCTTTCAGTGCTTAAAAGGTGCTTATTTTTTGTTGAAAGATTTGGCTATGCACCCTGTCAATTCAACATCTGTACCTTTCACTGTAAATACTGTCATTGTTGTCAACCTGTGCAGCATTTGAAAAATTATTTCATATTTATGACACTATGAAATTTTAAAGATAATTTAGTAATTTTCTTTTCTTTTTTTTTCCAGGCAAAAAATAGACAAGACATCTAAACATCAAATTGTTAGTGATGGAGAAAAATCTACAAGTGATGAGCGTTCTAATTCTGGAAGAAATAGGTTTGAATTTGTTTCTAAAATGCATGCTTTAACTTTATGAATTTCTTAAACATCCCTCACTGTAGTATTTACATAAATTTTTTTGTGTAAAAAATAATTTTTGCCATGGTTGGGTTGTTGGACATCCTAAACAGGGTTTTCATGGATGTCAAAAACCCTTAATTCTAATCTGAAATGGCAAGCTTCCTCATTGTGGAAATAACCGCCCCGAGAAGAAGTAAGTTTCTTCTGACCTAAATTAAAGAAACTTTTTTTTTGAGCAAAAAATATCCAATGTAATTTTAACTGTTTGCAGTTGCAATCTGGGTTAAATAATAATAAGTTAAAGACTTTAATACATAATTTTTAATTAAGCGCAAACAAAAAAGCACCAATTCTAACAAAAATAAATTTTTGATGAATTGCATATATTTATATAGTAATATACTTTATTTCGTTAAAGTACTGTTAAAATAACATATTAAAAACTTATTAATGCTACTAATTTAACAAATCACAACTTGCAGCCCACCAACTCTTGATGTATGGCCCGTGGCAGCAACCTAAACAAAATATGGAGAATTTTTTCTTTAAATTAAAAAAAAAAATTATTGAAATTTTAAATTTTGCAATTAAGTTTGCACCCAATCTCGATCAATGTAGTTTTTGGGCAGCTTTTTTTCAATGGTTAACGCTACGAATTCACGCATAGTTATTTTTTATATGACATTATTATGATACACAAATTTTGAATTTTAGTTATCACTTTTGGCACTCTTCATGTGTGCCGATTTGATCGTAAATTGAAAACTATGAAGCACTTTATTTGCACAATCTTCATAGCCGATCATTTGTTTTTGGCAGTTATTGCTGCACATTTCCATGTAGTTAGTGTTTGATATTTTTGGCACAATATTATTGCGAATCATGGGTTTCACAAAACAAAAGCAAGGTCTAATATCTAACAAGAAGGGTGGTTTATGATCCTCATTTATGGAGTTATTATGAAAGTAATGTATTCAAAAATTGTGTGTCATGTGTGCATTTCAATCATAACATAACGTAAACAAAAACTATGCCGAATTGATCGAAAAATGTTTAATGGAAAGGAAATATGAAATTAAAAATAATAATTGACGAGAAAAAAGGCTTTGTTTTTGCTACGAATAACTAAAGATGTGAGTAATAAATTCAAAAATTGTGCGTCATATGTGCATTTCAATCAAAACATAACGTAAACAAAAACTATGTCAAATTGATGGAAAATGTTTAATGGAAAGGAAATATGAAATTAAAATAAATAATAATAATTGACTAAAGAAAAGGCTTTGATTTTGCGTGTAACTATTGCGTGCACTTTTTTTAAAAATTAATATTTGAATTTTATAATCAAATATCTACCTTCAAGAAAATTTATTTTTAAAATCTATAATGTATTATATAGTCTTTTTTTTCTCTTTTAGTTATAAAAGTGAAAGAAGAACATCCAAACATCATACTGTTAATGCTAAGGATAAACCATCAAGTGAAAACAGGCGGTTGACTTTTGAAAGAAACAGGTTTGAATCCTTTGTTATTTTTGCACTTACAAAGAAACGTCCCCATATACCCCCTTGGCAGAATCGTGGCGACACAGCGACGTTATCACAGAACAATATTGATTTGCCTGAAAATTCTATTTTCTTTTTTGCAGAAATTTATGTTACATTTTTCTAATTTTCACATATTACTAATTTTTACACATCACAAATTACTTCTAATTTTCACATAGTTTTTTTAAATCCTATATTTTTAATACGACATTATTTATTACTACAGTTGGATCTCGAAATGAAAACACACATGTAGTAAACCCTTTTTGAAGAGTCCAATACGCATGATTTCGCTGTTTATCTGTTTTTCGTTAGTTACTGCTATGGATTTAAAGCTTTTTTATTATTTTTTTTTAATCTGATGATGATTTGCAAATTATGAGAAAAGAAATAATTCGAGTGTTTATCCCCCTATGAAATGCAAAAATTTCGCCTATAATATTAGAATTAAAAAATATTATGTATTCGAATAAAAAATATCATTTATCCAATTTCGGAATTAAAAATTGGTAGATAAGATATAGCTTTGTAAATAAATTATATGTAAGTGTGCAGCGAACACTGTATATTTATTTTGGCTCTAAATTTTTATTTTTACCCCTTTCTAGCGGAGGGAAAAAGCTATTTTGCAAGTATCGAATTACATGATACTCTCGCTTGATGCAGGGGTAATTAAAAGCCTTGTTTTTCTAAATATAACTCAATTTTTAATGTCTTTATGTATTGTCGCCCAATAGATGGAACATTATAAATGCGCATATTCATGGCTAGATAAAGAAATTTAGAATTTTTCGTTTGTGCAACTTCACACAAAAAAAGACAATTACCTTGACCTAATTTTAGGTACTTTTTTTGTATACTGTAAATCAAAAGTCAGTTATTGAAATCTAGCTACTCTACTAAATTTTTCTCTTTTTCTTGTATCCTACTGTTTTGGAGATCTGGACCCAAAGAAGATTAATCCTAGCCCAAGATGTCAGATAAAGGCCAAGTTTTACAGTCTTGCCACTTGGCCTTCAATGTCTAACGAAGGAAATTAATCATTAAAACCTTTTTATCACTAACCTGTAAAACAAAAAGTGAAGAGAAAAACTGAACCTTGTAAATAACTAAAACTTAACTTTAAAAAGAAAATCCTAGTCTTGGGTTTAAAAGTCATTTGACTTTAAGTGTTAACCTTACAAAGCAGAAACACAGAGAGAAAAAAAAGTAGCAGATTATTTTATTTTTATGCATTATAAATTTTGCATTTTTTTTATACTTAATAACTGAACCAAACAATTCTATCTCATCTCTTCCTCTCAAATATAAATTTTTGCCGATAGAATGGTAATTATAATACTGTTGATGCAAGCTGTTTTCAGTAAATTTTAAATCAGCATCTGCTTTCAATTTCTTACTGAAGGTAAGTAAATATAGTATGAAAAAGTGTTCTCATTGGCTTCTGTAAAACCTTAGAATTTGGTGATTTATTTTTACACGGTTGTAATATTAAACATCGATTTTTTGTAATCACTTGATCTAAAACATGTTCACCCGATTTAAAAATTCGATATTACAATTTGTATTTCCGAGTTTTTAAAATCCAACATCGCGACTTTAGAATCCAAAATCACGATTCATATTCATTTTAAAATCCAACATCGCAATTCTTGAAAGAAGAAAGTTTTTTCTTGAATTAGTTACTATGAAGATGTGATATTCTTCATTAGTAAGTAATTTAATTAAAACTGTTAGTGCAAAAAAAATTATGTTTAGTTGGAAATGTGTATGGTTTATAAATATATGGAAATTTTTTATGTTTTTGTGTCACAATTACCCCCTGATTAGCTAATCAGGCTTTGTGTTTCCATTTTTGTTTTTAACAAGTTGGCAGTCATGAGTAAGATTGATGTATTTTAGCAATGGTAATCAATTTGAAAGGCGAACACAAAGTGCATATGATTGATGCTACTGAAAAAAATATATTCAAGTTTGATTGGTGGTTAATTTAAACAATCAAAGTGACTAAAATTGTTAGTAACAATCTATCAGAAGATAACTAAACTCAGCGGCACGACAGCTCATAGAGAGCCAAGGCCTACTGTGCCAATCTCAGTTTTCTTGACCTTGGGCTCTGGGGTGCAGGAGCAGATGTTCCTGTCAGGTGGTCAGCCGAACCCCCAGTGTATAGTTCCCAAGCATGCTTGGTACTCATTTATTGACCCACTGAAGGGATGAAAGGTTGAGTCAATCTTGCCCGTCCCGAGGATCGAACCAGGGACCTGTGGCACGATATCGCGAAGCGCTACCGCTCAGCCACGGAGCGTCTGTCAGAAGATATTGAGGTGAAAGTTGGTAACTATTTTAAATTAAAATGATTGATTAACTGTTTTAATCAAAATTTTAAAATTTAAGAAAAATTTTAATTTTAAAGTCTAATTGCAGCTGCCACTTTAAAAATTAAAAAAAAAGCTCCCGTTAGAGTTAAAAGTTGTTTTTATATATCTCATTGATATGACAGAGCACTTCTCCCAGTGACTGAGTTGTAAAAGTTCAGCTTTTTTTATTTTTGTCCACTTTCATGCCTGTATAACATAAATGACAAATCTGTAATGAAGCCAAGCCAATGCAGTCAAAAGAGGGTATAGTTATGAATTTTTCAAAAAAAAAAAAAATTTTGAGCACAGTGTTTGTTTTAACAAACTACAAATTTTTCTCTTGTTTCGATAATGAGTAAGAGTTATTTTTTGAAATACACACATAAATTGGTATTTTAAAAAACGCAACTGAACTCAGTGATGCAACAGCTCATAGAGGGCCAAGGCCTACTGTGCCCATCTCAGTTTTCTTGACCTTGGGCTCTGGGGTGCAAGAGCAGATGTTCCGCTTTGGTGGTCAGCCGAACGCGGAACCCCCAGTGTTTAGTTCCCAAGCATGCTTGGTACTCATTTATCGACCCACTGAAGGCATGAAAATAGCATAAAAGGGTAATTTAAATTTTGTTGAGGTTGAAATTCAGTCATTACATATCATTACACATTTTGATGAATTTATTTGTAGGTAATATATAGATATCTGGTATGAAATAAAGAAATAGTCAACGCCTCTAGTCCCGGCATTACTAAATTCGCAAGAATCTTATAAGCTTTTAATATTTCATTTTCAAATGTATTATTGCAATCATTTTTGTATAATAATAATTATACAGTATTTTCATTTACAGGGTAACCGCGCACCTTGAAAATCATGGAAAGTCATAAATTTCAGTACTAAACAAAATTTGTCATAAAATGTCATGATTTTTACTATTTTTTAAAAAAAATCAGGGAAAGTCATGGATTTAAGTATCCGAAATATCTAATTTTTAAAATGGAATCCCCCCCCAATTTCATCCTGTTCCAAATATCTGAATTCCTAACAAAATCACCACTCAGTCATATTTTATTAGAATATAGAATGATTATATCATGTTCTTTAAAAATTATCCTGTTCTTTCAGAAAATGAAAGAAAAAATATCATTTCTAGAGTGAATTATTTTTTAAACTCTCTCTTCTGTGATTTACGAATTTTTATTATTTATTTTTTTAATTTTATCAATTTAAAATTCTAGTTGAAGCAAACCAGTCATTGGCAAATTTTTTTTATTCCAAAATGAGAACAGAAAAATCAGGAATATTTCTTTCTTTCTGATTAACAAGAAAAGTATCTTTAAAATATAATTCTGCAGAAAAAAATCATTTGCTTTTGTATTTTTTTCAGCTATTTTATTGTTTCAACTTTTTCTTTACTCAGTTTTTTAAATTTAAAATCTATAAATATGAAGATGCAGAGTATAACAGTTTTGGTTATACCTATCATTTCAATTAATGTAATTATAATGATTTTTAAATTTTTTGTTGCGTTTTTGTTGGAGAAAATAATAACGTAGTTAAACCATGAAAAATTCTTGAAATTAGTCGTGGAAAATCATGAAAAGTCATGAATTTGAAAATCTAAAATGTAGCTAAAATTAGCATTTAGAGTAAAATGAAAACCAGATACAGTTTAAAATTTCACATGTGTTATGTTCCTTATCTGTCTCTCAGGCTTGTAAATATTTTTTGAAAAAGATATTTCCTTTTCATGTTCTTTCTTTTTTTTTCTTCTTTTTTTTTTGTTGTCATGTATGCTACAGCGTCTTTTTATTTTATGAATCAAAATATTTTTCACTTAAAGAAATGCTTTCCATGATTTTTGCATGGTACAATCATACCTGCCAAGTCTCCTGTTTTTTAACAAAGACTCCTGTATTTTAAGACTATCTCCTGTTTACTAGTTTATTTTCAAATTTCTCCGTATTTGTTGAAGAAATTTGAAAGAAAAAAATAATAACTTTGGATAAAATAGTTGCTGGTGGCAAAAATACTTCTCTTTTTCCTGAACAGATGGTGCTGCAGTATGTTGAATGTTAATAGCTTAAGTAATTATGAATAATGGCTTAAAAATTCTTCTTTAGATTAAGATTTATATATAAATTTTTTACTTTGCTTAATATAAGCGCTTATATTATTTCCAAATTTGAATTTCTCTTTTTGACTTACATGATGTATCAAAACATTACTCATATTCTAAAAAAAATTGCTAGTTAAATCTTAGTTGTTTTATTTCTCCAATGATGACAGACATGTATATTGGAAACAACAGGATTTTGAAATATTAAATATAAAAAAAGCTATTGATGCAGTGTTTTGTCACACAGAAAATTGGTCAATTCTAAGAATACTTTTCTTTAAATAAATATGTTGTTACATAATTTTTAAATTCTAATATGTTGTTATATAATAATTTGAATTAATCTTATTATTATTTTTTTTATAGGCAAAATTTAGATGGAAGGACATCTAAACATAGAAATGTTAGTGACAAGAATGAACCATCGAGTGACGAGAATAGGCGTCTGGCTTCTGAAAGCAATAGGTCTGTAAAATCTTCTGAAATGCTTTTTTCCTTTGCCTTAAAATTTTTTTACATTTCCTTACAGCCATATATTTAAAACCAACTGTTTAAGTTTGTTTTTTTTTGCTGTGAAACCTTTAGTGGCCAACTTTTTTTTGACTGAACACCTACTTTATGAATAAAGTTTATTCTAAATTCTGAACATATTAATCAAAGAAAAACTAATAATTATTTTGAACTTATTTAATGTAAAGAGCAAGGGCCAGGATAGCCTGGTTGGTAGGGCACTGGAGCTATGTCCAAGAGGTCATGGATTGGACTCTTTTTATTCTTTTCTCTACATAAGTTTTTACAAAGTTTATATATATCACACACACAAAAAAAGTTTCAATTAGTCATATACCAAAAAAAAAAATTTAAATGTTTAACGCTTATTAAAGCTTTGAAATATGACCTTGAAAAACTTATCGCTTTATTGACACTTTTTCTTTTAATACAGTTTCTTTTTTCAAAATTATGATTTATTTCTTATTTTATTTTTTTTGCACATAGCACTGATCAAAAACTTTTGGAGGGGAAACATTACTGTATGCATTGAGAGTTTTTAAGCCATTTTCGGCCAAAGGTGCGCAAACGAGATCAAGGGTTCTTAAGACACCCAAAAATTAATGGTTAAACTGTTGAAAAATTTTTAAACCATTAAAGTTTTTTAATTTGAAATGGTTATTGGCAAATGAAATTTTTTGAAAATGTATAATTATTCCTTTTGAGATTAATCATTATTTTTTTATGTTGGATTAAAGTTGCAAGTCAGTAGATAAAAATAATAAAACTAATTTCATAAAAAAACAAGCATTCAACTAAATGGTTTGTTCATTGATTTGGTGAATGGTGCCTATATGCCCAGTTTTATTTCTTAAATAAAATATAATTTTTTGAATGCAAAATTTTTTGTGTGTCTTAATGAATATAATGTAAGCATATTTCAATGAAAATACTGTAAAACTTGTGTAAGTTGACCACTTGTGGTGCATTGTTTTAGTGTGCAACATATAGAGGGGATGGGTCGTTGTTTACTTTTTCGTTTCCTATATCATGTTGCTATATATTAAAAAAAAAATTTTTACTTAACTTAGAAATTTTATTTAGCAAATAGCCAAATTAATATCTTAAGAAATGTGTTTAAACCTGAATGAACTTCAATTTGTTACATATAATTCTAATATATAACTAACTTTTAAAAAAAAATTATTTCATTAGTTATGCATATGAAGTGTTTAACAAAAGTAATTTCTTAAAATATCAGAACAGGAAAACATGTAATTTGAAAACTTTAACAAAACAAAATTATTTGAACACTTTAAAATTTATTTACTGCTCTTAAAGATCAAAGACCATAAATAAAAGATCAAAACATATTTCAGAGCATTCATTTATTCCAATGTTCACTATTGCAATTGGAATAGCAACTTTTCAACTAACACACCTGTTTTCAATGAATGAATGAAAGAAATGATCAAAAGCTGACCCCCTACAGTTTCCCCAGATGGTCAACTCACAAAAGGGTTTAGATTAGCTTTTTACACTATATACATTGCAAAATGACAGAAAATTTTCTGGTCAACTTATGAGGGTTTTAGAATAAAATTTCATAATACTCCTAGACAAAATTGACTTATTTCCGTGGTCGACATACAAGATAGACAGGTGGTCAAGCTACAAAGGTTTTGCTTCTTTATATTACATAGTAAAAATTCCATTCTTGATAATTCAAGTCAACTTATGCCGGTGTCCAACTTACAAGGGTGATCAATTTTGCAGATTTCTTTGTAATACATTTTATAAAATTTATATGCTTAAGCTGTGTGTAACATATTTTGTTAAATGTGGTATTCTCCTGAACTTGAGCGTTTAGGGTAAAAAGAAAAAAAACTGGATTGTTTCTTAAATGCAAATATATATATATTCTGCTAAATGTCTCTTACTTTAATGTGTAAAATTTATAGAAAATTTTAAATATTTATTTCTTAGGCAGAGACCAGAGAGAAGGAAATGCCAAAATGTTAAAGTCAAAGAAGAGCCACTGAGTGATGAAGATAGGGAAAGAAATAGGTCTGAACCGCTCTCTTACTTTACTTTGTCCTCTTAACCAACATGCAAGGTTGCAAGTAATCAAAAAAAAATTGCATTTGGTATACAGTAGTATATAAAGATAACAAAAAAAGTAATAAGTAGTTCTATAAACTGATTCTTCGACTAATTTATTTTAGGAATTGTGTACTACTAAAGAAGTGGCAGAAAAAGTACCCCTTTTTTTGTTATGTTATAAATTTTGTTTGTTATGCTGTATATATTTTTGTTATCTTATATAAGAAACTAGGTAATCACTTTAGCAAAATAATTTTTCCTGCAATTATTAAACCATAGTTTTATTTGGAAAATTTAATAAGTAAAAAAAAAAATCCATAAATCAAGGAGAAATTCAGGCTCGGACTGGGCGATTCATCGGAAAACATCGTTGTTGTGTAATCATCGCCATTTAGGTTGCCGTCTTTTACGGAGCATCAGAAATTCTGGTGTGTATGCGCAATGAATATGCTGTTTCCCGATGCCGCGAAGAGCAATCCTGCGATTCCTGGAAATCCAAGAAAGGAAAGTGATTCTCTGAGGTCTATTTATGTTTTGCTATTTGATAATACTTTAAGATCATTTTTGTCTTGTTGAAGAAAAGATAGATCTTGATCTGTTCCGATAAGACTTTTTGTTTATTTATTCTTTTACCGATTTATTTTTCTTTGTTAAATCTGAAGAATTGCATTTCTTCAATATGTATAAAATGTTTTCATTAATAATTTTGTATAAAGCTCCAATATTGCATATTGACCACGTTTTTAATTATTAAAAAATGATTATTATTGTTAGAAAATATTAAAAAAATTTAATATTTTTGCAAAAATTTTGGCAAACGATTTTTTAAACCCACAACTTATCAAACCCAAATTTTCTTTTTGAGACAATCGTTTCGTTTTTATTTCTTTAGCATTTAAACTAATTAGCAAACAAATATGCTAATTAGTTTAAGCAAACAATATTTTAAATTACGAAGTGAGGCTCAAAAACGTACTTGAATAAATTTTTTGACAGATTATGATTCCTGACCCTCAAAATATAAAGCGTACCCGTAATCTGAGAAATAAAGTCCTACTAATTTGGTCAGGAGAGCGATCGAAAGTTAGGGTCTCTTGATGTTGATGCTAATTGTTGCATATTTCGTCATATCTCGAACTTTTTACTCGAATTGAAAAATTTTATCACAAAATTATAAAATTCGGTTATCAAAAGATAATTTTATACAAAAGTGATTTTAATTCATTTTTTTATTAGTAATAGTCGAAAAAAGTTTGAATTGTAAGGTATACAATTTTTTTTTAAAGAATATAATTTTTTATTTTAAAATAAAAAAGTTAAAAGAAATTAGTTGAATAGTTTCTGAAAAATAAATTTCAAAAAATCAGACTTTTTGAAATCCGATTAAGTCAAAAGTAGTTTTTTTTTCATGCACTACACTCTATCCACAAATATCAAATATTAATTGCTAAAATATTCATGTTAAGATAAATTCATTACAATATAAAAGCTGAAAAAAAATGTGCGCCAATTTCTTCTAATTTTATTTTCTAGAAAAGTTATTTCTTAATGTAATAATTTTTTAATGTGTTTTTGTCTAAGATACCTAACCATCTTTAAGAATGTAGAAAATTAACAATAATTTTTGTTGGCCAAGGTTGAAATACTATTCTTTTTTACCCTTCTTAATTCATCCTGAAAGATAATTTACTCATATTTTTCAAAGCTGCATGTAAAATTTTAATGAATTATTCGTATCACTAGTTAACTATTTATTCAATACCCTCTTTCTTTAATATAAAATCTTCCGTTTTTTTTTTTTCCAGCAAAATCTGAAGGTTGACAAGATGTGTTTTGTTTAAACTGAAAAAGACAGTCTACTGAATTATTTTGATCTGAAAGAAGACAATATTCAAAATAAAAATAATAAATAAAAGAAAACATTGCAATAAATATTTTTTACTGAACACTGATGTACCAGGCTATAAAGTCATACATTTAATTTACTCCTATCTTTACTTTTTTCCCTATTGATTATATTTCTTATATAACTTTATTGAAATTAAGTACAACATTCAATTATAAATCACTTAGTTGTTTATATATGCCAATAAAATGAATATAATTCGTATAATGTTAGTTTGATACATTTTGGCAGATTTTCACTTTCTATAAATTTTATCTGAATATCCCTCTCTTGAAATCTTACTCTCTTTTTTCCCCAAACACACAAAGTTTAAATTCTAAAAATCTAATACATATATTTAAAATTTCAGTTTTAGTCTAACTTTACAGTAGCATCAAATAAATAAAAAGCAAAATTGTGCAAGAATGCAAAAATTTGGCAAAACCAAATGTGAAACAGATGTGACATCGCGATGTTTGAGTGGTGATGCATCACGATGTTGAAATCTTGACAGTGCCCAGTCCTAGTTCAGGCTATATTAATATTATTTAATTTTATCTATTATTAAAAAGCCATTATGTTATTACATTTTAGTAAAGAGCCTTTTTCTCATTATTATCTAATTATGAAAGGTAAAATTCTTAAATTAAAGCTATACAGAATTAATGCAACCTGTCTCCTGTTTTGACATATTTATAACATGTAAGCAAAAGCTGATAAATAATATTTTTTATTTTGTTCTTCCGTAATAATATGTATGATTCCTAAAAAAATAAACCTTGATCTAGTACTAATTTTCAAGTAAGAATTATGTAGTCTGATTTGAATGTCTGCTGTATGAAAATGTTGGCAACAAAAAGAAATAATTTTTGGGGGCTGCATGTTCAGGATGCTGACATACTTATAACACGATCAAAATTTCAGGTCAAATTTTCTTACTATTACCATGGCATTCTGGTAATTTTATTGCATGGATTGTGGAAATCCTTGAAAGGTTGAGGGGAAAATTGCAAGTTATTTGACTATGCCTCATTTTAGCCTCCGACACACCTTGATGCAAATCTGTTCTTAAATTTGTTTGATTAAATTGCAAATAGTTCAGTCATGGTCCTTTGGTTTTTATGTATGCATCAACAACAAACTGCTGAAAGGGCTTCCCATTATTATGAAGAAGGCTAAAATTGTATCAGATATCAAGTCTGTAAGCATAGTATTGTAACTGAGTAATTCTGTTACAATTGTGTTGCTCTTCTACATGCTCCATTTCAACATGCCAACCACTCTCTCCTTGAGGAAAAGGTGGAGGATAAACTGTCGGATTAGTGCAATGCTACATTGGAAAAATTGTTTTGCACATATCTAGAACAGGGCGCATTTTTTCGTATTTTATTTTATAACCGTCATTGAGCAGCCAACCCAATTTTTGGGGTTTATGACTACTAATGTTCAACTTCGTATCCTTGTAATTTTGAACCCAATTTGATTTTCCCATAGAGGCAACTTTTAGTATACTTCCCAAAAGAATTTTTTGCTTAGAAGTGAGCTACACAATAGCTACATATTTGGCTGATGAAACTGATGTCATTTTCTTCATCAACAGTTGTGTATGATGTCATGTGTCTTACGCATTCTTTCAATGTTACGTCTTTCATAACTGTCAGAAATGCTATCTTCTGTTCTTCGATCACACTTTTTTTTATTATACATAAAAAGCATAACAACATGATTCATTTTTTCAATGAATAACAATAATAATAATGTAAAACATAATCGATGAAAAAAGAAATACATCAACAAAGACCACTCATTTCTACCCAGCTGTTAAGTTGTGGAATAAATTAAAAAAACGAAGTTGAAGCTCAAATCAATTCCGGAACATAATTTTTTTAATAAAGTACCTTTACAATTTCGAATGAAGAAAAATGCATCTTCATCCTTGACAATGTGCATAGTGTTTTTAAAAAGTGCTTTGAGGTGCTTATTTTTGATTTATATTTTTCAAAAGTCTTTAAAGTTGTTGTTTTTTTTGGGGGGGGGGTTGCGAAAGGTCCTTAATTTTCTATCTTTTAAAAAGAGATTTATTCTTTGCCGTATCGATTGTCTAAAATACAAAAGAATGCACGATTTTTCACAATTTTCTCTGCAATATTTATCAGATACTAGTTATTTTATCATGGTTGTGTAAAGTTTTTGAATTTTATTGATTTTATGTTTATAAATTAAGAACTTAAAGCAGTAGGAAAAATTTTTTTTTACTCAACAGATATTAATTATAATTTTTTTTTGGAAAGGGGTTAGAAATAATTTTTGAGAGCTTAAAAGGTGCTTATTTTTTGCTGAAAAATCTGGCTATACACCCTACGCTGTGTATAGTTTTATCTATATGACACAATTTATATAAGTGCTAAATATCTACTTTTGTAAAATCTTAAATATTTTGAATGAAAGTATGCAATAATGTAATTTCTTTTCAGGCACAAATCAGAGAGGTTTACATCCAGGCACCAGAACGTAAGCGTAAAAGACGAGCCATCGAGTGACGAGAATGACCGACTGCCTTCTGACAGGAATAGATCCGAGTCTTCAAGGATATCTAGAAATAATGAGTCAGGGCAAAAAACTGCGAAAGATAAAGAAAAACCAGATTTTGCCGTCTCTGGGAAATTGGCCGAGGACACAAATATATTCAACGGGGTTGTGATCAAATACAACGAACCCAGTGAAGCCCGGAAGCCGAAGAGAAGGTGGCGGCTCTATCCTTTCAAAGGGGAATCCGACTTGCCTTTTATACCCATTCATCGGCAAAGCGCTTACCTTTTAGGCAGAACTAGAGCTATTGCTGACATACCGATTGACCATCCCTCATGCTCTAAGCAGCATGCCGTTCTTCAATTCAGATTGGTGCCTTACACAAGAGAGGATGGCACAAAAGGAAGGAGAGTAAGGCCGTACATTATTGACTTGGAATCTGCCAATGGCACTTTCGTCAACAACAATCGCGTCGATCCACGTTGTTATGTTGAATTGATGGAAAAAGACGTCATAAAGTTTGGTTACAGCTCCCGGGAATATGTGTTACTTCATGAAGAATCTAAAAATGACGATTATGATGATGTCAGAGATTCGAGTTAAGTGAGGGTGAGAGATTCAAGAGAAAATTTAAATTTGTATATAATCAATGTAAAATATATATTTTATTGAAATAGCGAGATGGTGTTTTTTATTTATTTTAGATTCATTCTGTATTTAATGACTTTTTTTTTTTTTTGCTCTGTTAAATAATCAGGAAAAGTTTTTAAGTGTTGTTAACTGGAATGCCAACTACTACAAAATAATCAGTCTTGAAGATCTATTTTTAAAAAAAAATCAATTTTCTTGATTTTTTTTAAAAATTCCATTTCAATTTGTAACCAACCCCTTACTTCCTAATTTTTGGTAAATTTTATAAATTAAAAATTTAATTTTTTTTTCTATAGAGGATAGAGTTGTAAAACAAAAAAAAAGAGTAAATATATATTTTTTTCTTGTTACTTAATGACAGATTTAACTGTTTAGAGATTTATTCCGTTTCTTTAATATCATCGTATTAAATTTAACATAAATTTTAAAACAACGAAAAGTTTATTTGTGTAATTTTCAAAGTCCTTACATTTCAGGGGTTTGTCCAGGGTAAATTTACTACCGTTTAGCAGTACCTTCACAAATTCAACTTTAGGAAAAACGGTAGTTTCACAAATAGAAAAGAATGTTCTCATGCAAACCCTGTTCTTTTCCAATGGAAAAGAAAAGCTTTTCTGCCAGCTGTCTTCTACAAAAAGTTAGCACGTGTTTGGTCAGATAGTGCAATGTGGTATGCTTAACCAGTCACCCCATAGCAAAGTGAGCTTTTTGTTTCACTGATTTTTTTAAAAAGAAACGATAAGGCTCTTCCTCTATAAACTTTACAGGAAGTCGAAATTCAAACTTTATCTTAAATACTATTGTGCATTTATTCTAATAGACCTTTATTTATTTTTTTATGAACCATTTTCTTTTGTATGTTTAGTTTAAAATGCTCTTATAATTTAAATAACTTTTAGTACTAGTACTTAAAAAATACATGTTTTTTATTAAATTCAAGTTGAACTTTAACTATGGACATGATTTTTATGGATTTTGGATACAACTTTGCCCAAAATTTTACAATAGTAAAATTATTTTTCAATATATGGGGGAAAATATATAGAAATTTTTGAGTCATAAATGATTCTTATTTGTAGTGACAATTTTTGAAAATATTTTCTTACGTTACCATATTTTTGTGTTGATTTGTTAATATAATTTTTAATTTTCACAAATTATGTCTAAATTTTCACAAAATAGGTACCTCTTAAATAAACCTAGACAGGCCCCTGTATTTGCATATTGCCACCATGTACGCTAGATGAGCTAAATTTTTACTGGAATAGTCTCTGACTACTGCATTGAGGTCACAGACAAACTTGGACTTGCAAGGACAAGTATAATTTAAAATACTAAATTAAAGGTAAACTGGAACTGTAGTTCGTTCAGAGTAAACATTTCCCCTACAAGATAAAATTAAAAAGTTTAAATATGAGTAAGTAGCATGCGAAAATTACATGTTTTCACTGGAAAATAAACCCACCTAAAGAATTAACATTTCTCAAATTTACTGTGCAAAGAAATTCTTAACGATTTAAAATGCAGTTGGTAGATCGTTGCAATTTTTATAGGAGGGTGAGATCCCTTTTTTTTTTCTTCATAAATTTTAAGTAGTCCATCATTTACTTTTTTTTTTTTACACACAGAACAAACAGAATCAAGAGAGGTGCTTTGTCTCTTTCTTTATTCAAAGGAAATTCAAGATTTTTCATGTGTAGTAAATTGTCTGTAAAGTCGTCTTTGAATAATTTATCTGAAACTTTTTCTGCCAAGTGCTATGTTTACAATTTAAGCATTTTGTTTAATTATTTTTTGTGGCGGAGAGGGGTTTAAAAAAAGGTTTTTCCAATAGGGCAATGAAGTAATATAAAATCTATGGAATAATAATTGCAGGCATAGATCCTTAGTCAGTTCTTCTGCAGTGCTTAAAATGCATAGATTGGTGTTTGATTCAGAAATAGTTATAGCTGCACAACTGGCAAGAAACGAAAGAACATTTAGTTAGTGCAGCTGTGCCACGAAGTGTAATATGGAGAAATGATGGAGGCACAAATAATGATTATTACACAATGACATGCTTCTCTTTTAACTGTACTCTCAACTTCACATGCAGGTTGTCTCTCTTGTTACGTTCCTAACCTACATCTAGATTTTAATCAATGGAATTTTTTGAAAGAAATCATAGGTTTGAAAATTTACAACTCATCTTCATGTGAAATTATTCAATTTTTTATTGATTTTCATCATCATAATTGTCCAGACAAGACAGCCCAATGTGGGCCAATGCCTTCTGAAGATTTCTCCATTATGACTTATAGATATCCCACAAAAACAAATTGAATGAAATNTGAATTAAACAAACAATACATTTGAATAGAGGAAGGGGTACTGTGGATTTATTTCTTAGTTTTGTCGTTTAGATTGTTAAATCGATATAACCTAATATCGCGATATAAAAGGGTTGATTATATCGATTTAAGAAATCTTTATATCGTCCAGCCCTACTCTCAACTTCACATGCAGGTTGTCTGTCTTGTTACGTTCCTAACCTACATCTAGATTTTAATCAATGGAATTTTTTGAAAGAAATCATAGGTTTGAAAATTTACAACTCATCTTCATGTGAAATTATTCAATTTTTTATTGATTTTCATCATCATAATTGTCCAGACAAGACAGCCCAATGTGGGCCAATGCCTTCTGAAGATTTCTCCATTATGACTTATAGATATCCCACAAAAACAAATTGAATGAAATGTTGTATTCCTCAGGAACAAATTGTTAAGGAAGGGCTTTCTGTATTCTATATTTTCATAAATCTATTAGTTCTTATCTCCCCCCTCTGCTGACCCTACATGTGGTCCTCTGGACATCACTCCCCATCCTGTAACGTCCACCATGTAGAAGGGGGCAACCACAAACGATTTGTAACTTTAAAAAATTTGTGGTGGGGTTAAGTTTCATTGCTGGACTCCACCGAATTAGCCCATCTCGACCAGGGCCTTCCCCGCTTTCTTGTTCCATTGGGTCTAAAAAGCAATTTTATTGATTTACATAGTTTTAAAATCTGGCTGTGTTAAAAAAAAATTAAATTAGCAAATCTACAATAGTACTTACTGTCTAAATACTGCAATGTTTAAATTACATTTTAAGAATCTTATTAGAACAAGGTGAGCATTTAAATGCAGCTACTAAATTTTAAAGGTCCATAAAATTAATTTTGTGATTTTATTTATTTTTTTTATCCTGTTTTTCAATAATTCATTAAACATTTCTATTCCATTTTCAATAAATTAAATCATTTTTAGTTAGTATCTGTTTCTATAGAATAATTCTTTGTACAGTAATGCAGTCTGGAATGTATTATGATTTATTTCAAATAATATTTCGATTATAATTATTTATAAAAATTTAATTTTGTATAAATTGAAGCTCTTAAAATATCTTTAAAAAGATATAAGATATTGTGTAAATTTGTAGTGCACAAAATAATCTTAAATTTGTTTCACATTATTGAATTGAACGCACATTTCTTTTCTTCTTTTTTTTAACAATCTCATGTCCTCTCTATTGATTTAAGTTAAATATTTCCTTTTGGCATCACTATGAAAAGTTAAAAATTATCACAATATCTGTGAAAAAATAAAACTTGAGAAAAATATGTTGGCATCCCTGTGTATTTTGACTATGTAAATACTTTTAAAACATTTTTAAGGGACAATAAACATTCTACAAGTTTTTTGCAGCTGTGTTATAAGTTATTTTCCCCAAAATAGATAGTTTCAATTTCAAGCGTTAAATTTGTCGAAACATGTACAAGGTTCGTACGGACCTGGAGTATTGGAAAACTCGTGGTTTTACACATTTTAATTCCATTTTTATTACATGGTTTTAACTAATTGACTTTAACTTAATTGATATTGTGTTGTAATTATTTCAATCACGAGGTCGCAAAAAAAGAAAGTTGTGTATTCACAAAATGATCAGTGCTTTTTCCTAACAGACCACCTATTAAGTCGGTGAATAACAGAGACCTGAAACGAGAGCTGGGAAGAAGCTTTGTGTATGCAAGCGTAACAAATTGATTTCCAACACTGACAGGTCAAAGTCAAAGCATCCTTTTCGTCTCTGAAACATTTTAGGGACCGCTAAATCCCTCCTAAACTTTTGCTTTTTTTTTTCCAGTGAAAAATGCAACTTCTCTATATGCGGAAGATAAGATTGAAACTTTTAATAAATTGTCCTTCTTTGCGGTAACTTCTGTTACAGAAAAGTAGGAGGGCGAATGAAAGAGAGATTCCTTGAATGGCATATTTTTTAAAACCAATTACGTGATTAGGAGCTACATCAATCTTCCCATTTTACGCGTACGCTTGTTAATTGAACATTTAAAACTTAAACAGATTTTAGAGTGCGACTCGATCTTGACTAACTGTGTGTTTTTTTATATTTCATGTTGGAGGAGATTTAGCTTAATTTTAAAAGTATAAGTCTTTTTTTTAAGATTTAATAATTCAACGAGGATATAAAAAGAAGCAAGGATCCTCCAGAGATTCTTTGAAGACTTCACGACTGGCGTAAAAAGTAACAATTTATTTTTATTAATTTAGTTTTAACTTGTGTTTCCCCTTTTCATTTATAGACTATTGAAAACGTTGTAACAACGTAATGGGATTTTTATTTATCCTGAGATAAATCACTTTAATAAACTGATTTCAAATAGAATGTTTAAAATGAAAATTACGTATACTATTCAATGAAAAATTTTTATTAGATTCAAAATTAATGTGGAAAAAGTAGGCATATTTTATAATGTAAAATGAGTTTAATTTACTTTAGACCAAATGAATGTAATGGCCAAATTTGATGTGCTGTACGCAAAATAAAAAGTGAACGTTCAGAATAACTTTTAATCTAATCTAATGATCGGATTTTCGCATACTCAAGCTTTGTAGTTCAAAGACTTAACCTTAAATATAAGTCGTTCAAATTAATGCGGACGATGTTTTAAGTTATGATATCAGACTCAAAAAACTACCCTCTCAGA